CTTCTTCTGGGTCTTCCATGTGGGTGCAGAGGTCCAAGGACTTGGGCCATCTTCTACTGCTATCCCAGGCCACAGCAGAGAGCTGGATCATAAGTGGAGCAGTCGGGACCCGAACTGGTGCCCATATGGGATGCTGGCACTGCAGGTGGCGGCCTAACCCACTATGCCACAGCGCCAGCCCCCTTTGCTTATCTTTTAACAATGGTAATGAATGAACACAAAAGCTTTGGAGAGCTATCAGTTACGATTCAACATTCATTGACAATTCTTCAGGCTCAGAGCTATGGTTTTTATCAGGCTTGATGCTGTAGGAATGGCACTCCTCATAGAAGTATTAAGAGGCAGTCTGACTATGGTCACAGCTGGAACCTGCTGCAGGTGGGAGGGAGAGAGACCAGACAGTTTAGATACACACATGATGCCTCCAGTCCCTTGCCATGTGATGTGCTTCATCTTCTAAGGGTTGGCCAGCAAGGAGGAGATCACCAGATGCAGGCCCTCAAACCTCCAGAACTATAAGCAAAATAAACCTTTTTTTATTTTTTAAGATTTATTTATTTATGTGAAAGACAGAGTTACAGGGAGATGCAGAGAAAGAGAAAGGTCTTCCATCCGCTGGTTCACTCCCCAATTGGCTGCAACAGCTGGAGCTTCGCTGATCTGAAGCCAGGAGTCAGGAGCTTCTTCTGGGTTTCCCACGTGGGTTCAGGGGCCCAAGGACTTGAACCATCTTCTACTACTTTCCCAGGCCATAGCAGAGAGCTAGATTGGAAGTGGAGCAGCTGGGATGCGAACTGGCACCCATATGGGATGCCAGCACTTCAGGCCAGGGTGTTAACCCGCTGCACCACAGCGCCGGCCCCCGATCAAGAAAATTAGAACATTTATATTAGAGTCTTGACCTTGGAGGTAAAGGTATATTATTTTGTAAGTCACATTTGGTCACTTTTGTGTTAACATTTAGAAACATGGTGGAAATGAAGTCCCTAGACTCTTAGACCTTTTCCTTTGTAAGGCAGCTCTTCATTTCAGCACTGGGTGTGGATATCGTCACAACAATGTCTCACTGTTTTAAGGTTCTTTGATATTCATTAGGCCTCAATTTTATTTTTTTTTTAAATTAATTTGAGAGGCAGAGTAACAGAGATAGCCAGGCTCCCATCTGCTAGTTTACTCCCCAAATGTCTGCAGCAGTCAGGGCCAGGCCAGGTTGAAGCAGGAGTCCAGAACTCAATCTGTGTCTCCCATGTGGGTGGTAGGAATGCACTTACTTGGGTCACTGCCTTGTTGGGTCCTCATTAGCAGGACTGGATGCAAGCGCTGGAGCTGGGAAAATCAAACCTAGCTCTGCAAAGTGGGACACTGATGTTTTAAATACTAAACCCAACACCTGCCCTAATTTGCTTGTTTTGTCTAGCTGAATTACAGCCTTTTTTTTTTTCAAAGAAACACTTATGATTTCACTATTATTGAATATAATATACATTAAAAGTATAAAATTCAAACATTCCTTTTTTTAAAGATTTATTATGTATTTGAAATCAGAATTATACAGAGAAGGAGAAGCAGAGAGAGAGAGAGAGAGAAAGAGAGGGCTTCCATCCGTTCATTCACTCCCCAGATGGCTGCAACGGCCGGAGCTGTGCTGATCCGAAGCCAGGAGCTTCTTCCAGGTCTCCCATGCTGGTGCAGGGGCCCAAGGACTTGGGCCATCTTCTTCTGCTTTCTCAGGTCATAGCACAGAAGAATTGGAAGAGAAGCAGCTGGGACTTGAACTGGCGCCCATATGGGATGCCGGCGCCTCAGGCCAGGGCTTTAACCCTCTGTGCCACAGCTCCGGCCCCATAAATGAGCCTCTTTTACTACAGAAAATACAACTATAATTTCTTTTCAAGACACAATATATTTTATCAACAAAACTCATTTATTGACAATGAGTTAATTGTATGCACTGAAATAGAAAAGTAATATATTTCTTTAAAGATTTATTTATTATTTGAAAGGCAGAGTTACAGAGAGGCAGAGGTAGAGAGAGAGAGAGAGAGGTCTTCCATCTGCTGGTTCCCTCCCCAAATGGCTGCAAAGGCCAGAGCTGCACCGATCCGAAGCCAGGAACTTCTTTTGAGTCTCCCACAAGGGTTCAGGGGCCCAAAGACTTGGGCCATCCTCTACTGCTTTCCCAGACCAAACAGAGAGTTGGATCGGAAGTGGAGCAGTCGGGACTGAAACTGGCGCCCGTATAGGATGCCGGCACTGCAGGTGGCAGCTTTACCCACTACGCTACAGCGCCAGCCTCAAAAAATAATATTTTTAAAAGGCTTAGTTTATTTATTTATTTATTTGTAAGGCAGAGTGACAGAGAGTGAGACAGAGGTCTTCCATCTGCTGGTTCACTCCTCAAATGGCCACAATGGCCAGGGCTGGGCTGGGCCAAAACCAGGAGGCAAGACCTCCATCAGAATCTCCCACATGGGTGGCAGGGGCCCAAGTATGTGGGTCATCTTCTGCTGCTTTCCCAGGTGGGTTAGCAGAGAGCTGGATCAGAAGTGCAGCAGCCAGGTCTCAAACTGGCACTTGATATGGGATGCTGGCATTGCAACCTGTATCTCAACACATTGCGCCACAACACCCACCTCTGAAAAATAATTATTTTTAAGAAACAAAGGATATAAACATAAAGAAGTCTGAAATTATTTCTTTAATTACAGAAGTAACTATGACCACAAAGAATTCAAATATATTCTGACACAAATTTCCAATGCTTATTTCTTTAATGCAATTCATGTCCCAGCATCACACAATTTTCTAAGACAAATTTTTAATTTCTGGAATCTTGCCTTGATACTAACAAAAATGATGAAATGTGGCCAGCACGATCGTTTGAATGTTGACTGTCCTCCAGGAGCACACATGAAAAAGGCTTGGTCCCAGTGGTGGCACTGTTAGTAGGCGATGAAATCTTTAGAAGGTGGGGCCCGGGAACACATTCCTAGTTCACTGGGGTCAAGCCTTCAGGAGACGGTTGTAATAAAAATTAGGAGTTGGGCCCACCCACTCTTTTTCTTCGGGGCTTGAGCTGTGACCATTCGCTCCAGTACATGCTCCCACCACCATTACCACACAGCAAACCAACGGCTCACTTGATCTTGGACTTCAATCTCCAACACTGTGAGTCAAATAAACCTTGGCTCTTCACGAAGTTTCTTGCCTTGGGTATTTCATTGCAGTGATGCACAGCTGACTATATGGCCAGAACAATAAGAGATTTCAATTCTCAGAACAATTTCCCTCCCTTCTTCTCTCGGTGCTATGCGAACCACTGAGCCAGCTGTATCGTTTTAGTGCAGACACGAGTGTTGGGGAGAGAACTTAGTGCTCGTCTACCCTTCTGGAACCTTTGGCTAGATCTACGAAGTCAATCAACATAAGAGATCAATAGGAGAAAGGCACTGAAGTTTTATTAACTTTTAAAGGTACATGGGGAGTGAAGACCTGAGAAATGGCCAAAGCAGAAAGCTTTAAGCCTCTAGACAAGGGAATTTGTGAAGTGACGAGACAGAGCGGTTTGGACTGGGGCAGTAAGTTGTGAAGTCACCAGGAGAGTTATTTACTTTTCCTATTTCCCCGCAGCTCTACCACATTCCTTCTTCTTCCTTCAACATCCTTTTAGCTTGGAATGTCAGTGCTGCTCCTCTGCATTCTCAATCTCTTCAGCTAATTTTTGTCTGTCCTTTGAAGACTGAGCTCAGACAGGACATTTTGCAAATGGTCCCGAATCTCCTCAAATACCAGCCACAGGGCTGCGGTCCTAGTTCTCCGTAAGCCCCAGGACTTGCCAACACAGACCTCCTTCAAGCTGTAGCTACACGATTTTGAGTAAGGTATTACACGGTTCGTTCTTCCGCTTCCTCATCGTTAAGACGGTTGCCATGATGCGACGGCAACGTGGTAAATGAGATCATCTACGGGTAAACCAGCACCTGGCACTAGCACACCTACTCCACAAACAGCACTGCTATGGTTGGCATCCTCTCCCTCGCTCCTTCCCTCCCTGCCTCATCCCCTCCAGGAAGTTCTTTAAAAAGATGGTCTCAAGTCCATCCTTTTACTCCTAACATCTGACACACAGCCTGCAACCTGTAGACCCCAGAATCGCCGACTATTAATGAGATAGGTAACTTTTCCAGAATCACTGCAAAGAAAGGAGGGTCTAAACCCAAGGTTTGGGACGGTACACAATGGTTCAGCGAAGACTCAGCTTTCACAACGACTGCGAGAGACTGTTGCCACAACGACACAGAAGACACACGGGAAAAGCAAAATCGGAGCGCCAGGGCGCCGCCAGCAGACCGCACGCCGTACTCGGGAGCTCCCAGCGGGCGCGGCCCATCGCGGCCCCCAGCGCTCGCCCAGCACCAGTTTCAGCGCTGTGGGATTAGGGAGCGCCCTTGCTCAGAGGACTGAGCACGCAGCTGGAGCTCAGTGCAGGTTTAGAGAACGAACGATGAGGCACCACAGGAGGCGGAGCAGCCGGCAGGCCTAGTGAACCCAGACGCTGTCCCGTCTCCCCGTTCACTTTGCACGGCGCAAAATAATGGCAACGTGCGACCCCAGGGGAGCAAGCTCGGCCTCCCCAGACCTGGGCTTCCTGCCCCGCAATCTGTGCGCAAACAGCAGAGGGATACGTGAAAGATTCCTTCTTCGGGTCTTGGTGATTCCCAAACCCGGCGTGATAACAGAATCTAGCTACACTGCACCAAGAGCACACTAACGCCTTATTACAACCTCGGCTCGGAAGCGGGAGAGAAGCCACGCCCCCGACTCTAACCATCCAATCCAAGCTGCCAGACTCAGTAGCGCGGTGTCTTCTGGGACTCGTAGGCTCCTGAGCTTAGGAGCTGCCAGACTCAGTAGCGCGGTGTCTTCTGGGACTCGTAGGCGCCCGAGTTTGGGCCTTCCTCCGGATGCTGACTACAATTCCCGGAGGCCACTGGGCTCCGAGGCCAGCCCTCCTTTTGGGGGAGGAGCCCCGAGAGCCCGGGGGCGGGGCCGGCGGGCCGTGGCGCTCTGTGCTTCGCGTGGACGGTAGTGGTAGGAGAGCACCGGCTGGCGAGTCTCACGTGGTGGGGTCTCCACCCGGGTAGCCGGGTTTGGTCGTGTTTGACTTCCCGGACCCTTGGGTCCGAGTCCTGCCGAGATGCCGAAGGTTAAGTCGGGAGCCAAGCGGCGGGAAGAGCGCCGGGAGCTGAAGAGCGCCGGAGGTGCGACTGCGGGGGCAAGCAGGGTCGGTCGGCGTCTTGCGGCGCTCGCCGAGGTCCGAGCCGCGGCCGGAGGCTGCACGGGCTCCCGCAGCGTCGGCCCAGGCCTGCGCGCCGCGGCCGGGTGGACTGGGCGCCGTTCGTCAGCCCTGCCCCGGACCCGTGGGGCTGTCTTCTCCCGGACGGCCTAGCGTGTCCTCCGCGCTGGGCAGTGACGGCTGCGTTGTGTTTTCTTCCAGGACTCGTGTTCAACAAGGGGATCGGGCAGCACATTTTGAAAAATCCTCTCGTTGTTAACAGCATCATTGAGAAGGTGGGTGTAGACGAGGAACGGGGAGAGTCGTTCTGTTGGTCTCATTCGCAGGAATGTGTAAGCCCAGAGTGTGCGCCCGGCCCGAGCTAGATGCCAAGTCTTCACTGAGTGGATTCAAGGGTTGTTTAGGATTCAGACCCTGCGGAGTGTGCCGTGGGTCTGGGCTTCTCCCGACCCAGTTCTCTCGCTGAGGAGTCCCTGCTTCCTAGCTGGACGTTTGTACTTGTTCCATTCCAGACTCTTCTGTTCTGATGGCTTTTCTGGGCACCCCGTCACTGTTAGCTTTTATTTACTCCGGAGTTTAAAACAGGGTTAAACCATGCATTAGGAGGTTTGTTCCCCAGAAGAAACCACCCAGCTGGTATCATGCAAGTTATTTGGAGTCTTTTTTTCTTTCTTTCAAAGATTTACTTTATTTATTTGAAAGAGTTACAGAGAGAGGTAGAGACAGAGAGAGAGGTCTTCCATCCACTGGTTCACTCCCCAGATGACCGTAATGGCCAGAACTGAACCGATCCGAAGCCAGGAGCCAGGAGCCTCCTCCGGGTCTCCCACGTTGGTGCAGGGGCCCAAGGACTTGGGCCATCTTCTACTGCTTTCCCAGGCCATAGCAGAGAGCTGGATCAGAAGTGGAGCAGCCAGGTCTTGAACCGATGCCCATATGGGATGCCACTGCTTCAGGCCAGGGCTTTAACCAACTGTGCCACAGCACCGGCCCCTGGAGTCTTTCTTCCTCTTGGGTTACTGATATGCTCTCTCTCTCTCTTTTTTTTTTTTTTTTTAAGATTTATTTATTTATTTATTTGAAAGTCACAGAGAGAGCAGGAGAGGCAGAGAGAGAGAGAGGTCTTCTTTCTGCTGGTTCACCCCCCAGTTGGCCGCAATGGCCGGAGCTGTGCCGATCTGAAGCAAGGACCCAGCTTCTTCTGGGTCTCCCACTCAGGTACAGGGGCCCAAGGACTTGGGCCATCTTCTGCTGCTTTCCCAGGCCACAGCTGAGAGCTGGATTGGAAGTAGAGCAGCCAGGACTCGAACCGGCACCCATACAGGATGCCGGCACTGCAGACAGTGACTTTACCCACTATGCCACAGCGCCGGCCCCAGACTTAGTGTCTTTTGTGCAAAGAGGGTTGCTGTAGCTTTTTAACCTTTTTTTGTTGTTGTTGTTACTTATTTGACAGGTAGAATTAGACAGTGAGAGAGAGAGAGAAAGGTCTTCCTTCCATTGGTTCACCCCCCAAATGGCCGCTACAGCCAGTGTTGCGCCGATCTGAAGCCAGGAGCCAGGTGCTTCCTCCTGGTTGCCCACGTGGGTACAGACGCCCAATCACCTGGGCCATCTTCCACTGCCTTCCCGGGCCACAGCAGAGAGCTGGACTGGAAGAGGAGTAGCTGGGACTAGAACCCAGCGCCCATATGGGATGCCGGTGCCGCAGGCGGAGGATTAACCAAGTGAGCCATAGCGCCGGCCCCGCTTTTTATGGATTTCTTTTTCTGATGAAACCTGTGGACCTACAATATCACAGTTGTGTGCACACACATACCCAGTTTTCTGTACAATTTCTCCTACCCTTGTATCCCTGAAACTATACATGGCGTGGGAATTAAGAAATGCTGGTCCAACAGGCTGTGATTCACAGAGAAGTTCATCATATATAGTCCTCTAATTGAACTTGATATGATCCAGTTTGGTAACAAGAAGCTATTGCAATCATTCCCAAGACAGAAAACAGTGTCAGTCCCAGAAAGAACTGCTGTTGAGAAGTATCCCCCATTTTAGGAGGGCTGTTAGATTTTCATTTGTACCTCTTGTTATCAGGGTGATTTTGTTAGCCACATGAATCCTGATGAACTCTAACACAGGAACCAGGTAAGGCCTCAGATCCCAGAGCTGCAGCTGTCAGGTATGTGTGCAGACGTGCTGTGGGTGTTAAAGTGACTGTGCTTGCTCTTAGGCTGCCTTAAGACCAACAGATGTGGTGCTGGAAGTTGGACCTGGAACTGGCAACATGACTGTAAAGTTGCTAGAAAAGGCAAAAAAGGTACAAGGGATTTAGTGTTTTGGTATTACGTTAACTGAATACAGGTTGAACATCCCTGATCTGAAAATTTGGCTTTCAGGGTATTTTGGAAGTTGAGTTTTTTTTTTTTTTAAAGTTTATTATTACTTTTTGATTATTTGAAGGCAGAGTGATAGAGAGATGATCTACCTGCTGATTCATTCCCCAAGTGGTCACAACAGTCAGGGCTGAGCTAGACTGAAGCCTGGAGCCAGCAACTCTCTCCTTGTCTCCCATGTTGGTAGCAGGGACCCAAGTACTTGTAGCCAGTATCTGCTGCTTCCCTTGGTGCACGTTAGCAGGAAGCTGGATTAGAAGTGGAGGCGGGACTTGATCCCGGGCACTCCTGAACAGAGGCAGGAAGTGATTCTAGGTGCTCAGGTGTGGGATGCAGGCATCCCAAGTGGTAGCTTAACCCACTGCACCGCAGCACCTGCCTCAGCATTTTGAATTTCCGATTTTCAAATTAAGAGATGCTTAAAATCTGAAACACTTCTAGTTCCAAGCATTTTCGATAAGGTACACTCAACCTGTAGTAATTCTTGATCCCTCACTCAGTTTAATGTTAGAAAGTATGAGGTACATCACTCAGGAAAACAGACCACATCAGGTTATTTTGATGGGGAATTTATTACTTATTCATAGTCTTTACAGTTTTCCTCATTTGACAGAGAGAGAGAGAATCTTCCATTTGCTGGTTTACTCTCCAGATGCGTGAAATAGCCAGGGCTGGGCCAGGCTGCAGCCAGTTTAATCTGCTTCTGCCACAGTGACGGAGTGAGAACTTCACTCTGCTGTGAGATGCCGGCATTCCAAGCAACGTCTTTTACCCACGTGCCAAACACACACCCTCAATAGGGAATTGAATACATGGGACTCGGTTACGTGTTTCTTAGACAACTGAAAGGGGAAAATGGGAACATTAACATAACCCAAAAATAAAACCGCAAGCAGTGGCTACCGGCTCCAGGCTGGAGGGAATAAAGCAGAATGGAGTTATTGGAACCCTGAACTTTGGAGGAGGAGACATGCAGGGCTGGAGCCCAGGCCAACCTGGCCACTGCTGATGCCCTTTTTGTGTCTTGGTTGACCTGGCTTCCAATTAAATGGAGACATTGTGTCCCTGGTGGAAGCAGGCAGCTTATATAAAAGGGCTTATCTGAGAGTTTAATGATGTCTGGGAGTGGGGTTAAGGGAACCAGTATATGTCAGTGAGTCACTGGGGACCAGCCCCAGCAGGAAACAGGAGACATCCAGGCAAAGGGAGAATTCTCCAGAGCCCAGTGAGTGGGAGCCGCTGAAGAGGGGCACTCGTGGCGAATGCGGCCACTATGAAAATTGCAAGGCAAAGGCTAGCCATTGGAAAGTAAACGCCCAGCCTAGCACTCCGCGCCCTGCAGCGCCGGTGCCTTTCACTGGCTGATCCCAGCCAGAAGTAATGGGGCTGCCTGCATTTTCTGTGGGGCACAGAGAAAGTAGAGCATGGATAGGGAAGCCACACAAAATAAGCAGTACATTTTCTACCCTGTGTCAATGAAGCCTCAGCTAATATTGCAGTAAAATCATATTCTTTTTTTAAACAAAATGGCTGCAACAGCCAGAGCTACACTGATCAGGAGCCAGGAGCTTCCTCTGGGTCTCCCACGCAGGTGCAGGGGCCTAAGGACTTAGGCCATTTTCTGCTGCTTTCTCAGGCCATAGCAGAGAGCTGGATTGGAAGTGGAGCAGCCGGGACTCGAACCAGTGCCCATATGGGATGCCGGCACTGCAGGCGGAGGCTTTACCTGCTATGCCACAATGCTGGCCCCATCATTTTCTCTTATTTAAGAAGTTATCCATACTGTGTGTTCCGGATCTCAGTTGATGAGAAGAGCAGTGTACCCTCCTAAGAACTGACAACACAGACACATTGTGTGTTATTTTCATCATCTGTTCAGTTACAAAACATGGAGACAGATGAAGCATGGTAACTCTTGGTTATTTTGGGGGGGACTCTCACATAATCCCTTTTTCTGAGTGGTGGTTTTCGTTGTTTGAAATGGTAGAGTACAGTGGAAAAAGAAGTTTAAATCATTTAAGAATTTCTATTGGGATAAGAATAAATCTGCACTCTGTAATTAACCTAAAGAATTTTTTTTTTTTTTTTAATTCAGGTCATCGCCTGTGAACTTGACCCAAGGCTAGTAGCTGAACTTCATAAAAGAGTTCAGGGCACGTGAGTAAACATAATAAAATTAAAGTGTATTTCAGTCTCATGACAGAAACATTCTTAAATTTCATCCTTTTTACTTTCTTATTATCAGGCCCTTGGCGAGCAAACTCCAGGTAATGGTGGGCGATGTGCTGAAAACAGAACTACCATTCTTCGATACGTGCGTGGCCAATCTGCCTTATCAGGTACGTCTGCAGACTGTCAGGAAGTCAGACTGTTTCTGGTGTGTCTTTCTCGGTAGTAACTAGTTAATTCTCTTCCAGATCTCGTCTCCCTTTGTCTTCAAGCTGTTGTTGCACCGACCTTTTTTCAGGTGTGTGACAAGAGACCAGAGTTACTGCCAAATTTGTGAAAGACTGACAACTTGGGGTGTGAATACAGTTGAAAATGAAAGTCAATTGGAAAAGTACTGGAAGAATTTTTGTAGAAAATATTGACTTGTTTGGGCTGATGTCTCTCCCTCTCTATCCTCCCCACTCCCTGCCCCCTTCCCCCTATTCCCTGCCTTCTCCCCAGAAGTTACTTGGGGACGGTATGGTCTACGTTCTGTTTCAGAGACTAGACAGTGTTTCCCTGCTTTCCAACCCTCTTGCCATTGCCTAGGTCTGGTTTTTATGACCGTATGGACAATTGCAGTGGCTTGCTGACTGGTCTCTAGTCATGCCAGTGGCTTTCTAAATGCAAGTCAAAAACACCTCAGTGGTTATAAAATATACTTAGTAAGTCATGACCATCCTGTTTTTTCAAATGTTTATTTATTCGAAAGGTAGAGCAACAGAGACAGAGAGAAAAGAGTGATCTTCCTTCTGGTCCACTCTCCAGCTGCCTGCAACAACCAAGGTTGGGCCAGGCTGAAGCCAGGAGCCCAGAGCTCCGTCTGGGTTGCCCACATGGGTGGCAGGGACATGGGAGGGACTCAGTTATTTGAGTTATTATCTACCGCCTCCCAGGATCAGAGCAGAGAAGGTGGGCTGGAGGAAGAGTGGGTGGGACTCTAACCAGGCACTCCCATTGCTATTCTGATGTCCCAAGCAATGACAATTCCTGCCCCTCCACTCCCCCTAATGACACGGAATGGAACTTACCAGAGGGCACTGCATGCGGTCCAGGTGGCGTTTGTTTGAGGTATACGAACACGGATACATACAGGTATTTGTCAAATCTCTTTTTTGCTGTGATTCATCATCAACGTCCTTTGAAAGTGGAAGGCCTCTTTGCAGACGCTTTGCCACTTGGCAGCCTCCGCAAGGCCTAGCGGCTCACGGAGGAAGCAGCCCGTGTCCCTCACCCGTGGACACCAAGCGTCACCTCCTCCTTGAGGCGTCTGCTGCTTCGTGAGTGGATTCTGCTCTTGCAGGAAGGGAGATGGACTGACAGGAGCTGATGAGAAAAACTGTCTCATCCGATCTCTGAGGGCTTGTGTTTGCAAGGCATCTTTCTCATGGTTATGAAACAAAACCAGCTGTCTCATCTTGTGGTAATAAAGACTGAAAGTTTCCTGCCTTCTAACCAGCTGAGTTATCATTAGTAACATGTTGAAAATTCAGTACAGATAAAATATACTTACAGTTGAAAGTGACCATTTCCCTTGCATGAAAAAAATTAGATCTTTCATACTTGAAAGAGGTACAGAGAGCAAGTGAGCATTTTTCACTGACCGACTTACCAAATGCCGACAACAGCCCGAGGTGGAACTCCGTTCAAGTCTCCCACGGGGGTGTCAGGGGCCCTAGCACCTGAGCTGTCATGTGCTGCCTCCCAGGGTGAATTAGCAGGAAGCTGGACCAGAAGCAGAGTGGCCAGGACTTGACCTAGGCACTCTTGACATGGGATGCAGGCATCCTATGTAGCAGCTTAATCTGCGGTACTGCAACACTCACCTTTCCCTAGTGTATTTGTATGTATTCTTTTGAAAGACAGAGCCTTCCATCCACTGGTTAACTCCCCAATTGTCTGCAACAGCTGGGATTAGGTACTCAGTCTCCCACGTGGGTGGCAGGGATCCAGGTATGTGAGCCGTCACCTGCGGCCTCCCGGGGTACAGAGCAGCAGGAAACGGAATCGGAAGAGGAATCGGGTCTCAAACCCAGGCACTGTGATGTGGGACGCAGGCATACAAGTCGTGGTTTAACTGCTGCACCAAATGTCTTCTGCTTTCCTTTCAGATGTGCTGTACTTATGTTTCAACGAGAATTTGCTCTCCGACTGGTTGCAAAACCTGGAGATAAGTTGTACTGCAGACTTTCAATTAATACACAGCTGTTAGCACGTGTGGATCACCTAATGAAAGTGAGTGGTTTTTACTGAAACCACCTTTTATTGAAACTTTCAACATCTGGCTGTCCCTTCTGTGAAAAGAGCACCTTTGATTCCTAATGAAAAGCTGCCTTTGAGAGGAATACTTAAACATTTTCTGATCCACAGGTGGGAAAGAATAACTTCAGACCACCACCAAAGGTGGAATCCAGCGTTGTAAGGATAGAACCCAAGAATCCACCACCACCTATCAATTTTCAGGTGAGGCTAAAGTACTGGACATTTTGTAAAGGAAAAAAGCAGTCCAGACTGGAAGACACTGTGTCCACAGAAGCAGAAAAATACTGGGCCAACCTCAACGTCCAAATGTAGGAAAATGTTCATTGTAGTAAGTGTGACAAGTGATGGGGCAGAAGGAATAATCTGACAAACAGTTATAAAGACCACAAAAAAGCATGGGAAATATTTGTAAAAAGTAGGTTAAAATGCAGTTTATTTCCTTCAAACTTACAGTCATAGAAAACAAAAGAAAATTTGGAAAGCAAGGTAACATGAAAATTGTTCAGAGTAATATTGTGGGTGACACTTTTCGATCAGACTTCATTTTGCAGTTCCCACAGAAGCCAGCCACAGAGCACCTGGTTTAAACCTGCTGCAGTCACCTTTGAAACACCGTGACTGCGTGCCAAAGTGCTGCTGAACAGCCTGTCAGCAACTCCATGGAGGAGGTGTAGGTGTGTTAAATGGGCTACATCCTACACCATGTCTGTTTTGTTTTTTTTTAATAGAGAGGTAGAGACAGACAGACAGGTCTTCCATCTGCTGGTTCACTCCCCAAATGGCTGCAACAGCCAGAGCTGCGCCTCTCTGGAGCCAGGAGCCTCTTCTGGGTCTCCCACATGGGTGTAGGGGCCCAAGGGTTTAGGCCATCCTCTGCTGCTTTTCCAGGCACATCAGCAGGGAGCAGGATTGGAAGTGGAGCAGCTAGGACTCAACTGGCGCCCATATGGGATGCCAGCATTGCAGGCTGGGGCTTTAACCCGCTGTGCCACAGCGCTGGCCCCATGTCAGTTCTGAATCTTATTTTTGAAAAACAACTTAAGATTTAAATAAGTACTGTATTCTTTGGTCAGATGTAGAAAATTTTTATAATTTTTCCAATTTTTAAGAAATTAAGGATGAAATACACCAATGAGGTGCCTAAAAGTACAGAAGTCAAATATGTGTACCTCTTAAGTCATGCATGTATGCCAACCAACTCAAGACAGAATATTTCATCATTCTAGAAGGTTCTCTCTAAGGTTTTAAAAAACAACACCTAACAGGCATGGACAAGTTTGAGATGCTCAGGAAAATACCTGTCTTCTGTTCCAGGAATGGGACGGTCTAGTAAGGATCACCTTTGTTAGGAAAAACAAGACACTGTCTGCTGCATTTAAGTAAGTGTTTGACGCATTCCTTGTGCATTGAAGTCCAGTGACCCAGATACTGTGCTAGACTCTGTTCTCTTCCTGAACAGCTACCCCAAAGCATAAAGATTATCCACGTGCCAATACACTTCACCTTTCTGACTCATACTTTGGAAGGTGAGAGAATTTAGAGAAGAGTTCCTGTATTTCAGAGTCAGATGGTTTTTAGGTAAAAGGAAAACTCCAAAACTCTTTTTTCTGTATTAAAACATTTATTAATTTTGAGAGGCAGAGAAAGGGAGAAAGAAATCTTCCATGTGCCAGTTCTAAATGCCCACAACAGCCCAGGCTGGGCCAGACCAAAGCTAGAAGCTGGGAACTCAATTTAGATCTCTTACATGGCTGGCAGAAGCCTGACTTCTGAGGCTGTCACCTGCTGCCTTCTTAGGATCTGCATTAGCTGGCAGGTGCAGCTGGGACTGGAACTGAAGCACTGGATGCTATTGTCCTGTGGCTTAACGACCTCCGCACTCTAAGCTCTTGCCTACACATCTGTTTTGGGGTTTGTTGAAAACTGGGGTGAGAAGGGACCTCTTCCATACTTGTGAACAATTTGTGCCATCTTATTAACTTGGGAGAATGTAACACAGCGGGGGTAGAAGTGTGATGGCCCGTTTAAATGAGGACTCCGTGATTTCTAATATTTGGGGGAGGGTCTAGGAGAATAAGAACTAAGATGCTTATTAGGACTTTACTTTTAACTATGAATGTTTGTAAGTTTAAATGTTCAGCACTTTTTAATTCCTTAATTTTACCTCAAGTATTATGGACTTAATCCTGTACAAACTCAAAGGAAATTATGTATGATCAGTGATTTTGGAATAATGTCACTTCTTTGTGCTATAGATCAAGTGCAGTGCAACAGCTATTGGAAAAAAACTACAGAATTCACTGTTCGGTCCATAACATTGTAAGTAGGAAATGTTTCTGTAGTTCCGTGTTTTCTTTTAATGTCCTATTTTTTTATTTTTCATCTGTCATTGAGATGTCTTGTTTTGTACATCCTACAGGATACTTAAGATAGTGTATACTGCACAATTAGGTAATTCTGACAGGTCAGTGTTGTGTATTCTGTGAAAGAGCTAAGAGTAATCTTTATTCCTATACTCTCCTCTTTGAGTCCTAACGAGCAGATTCAAGGGTGGGTGTATGGCCTAACAGTAAGACACTGGTAAAATGCCCATGTGTCCTAATGGACTATCTGGGTTCAATGCCCATGTCCAGCTCCTGACTCCAGCTTCCTGCTAATGCAGACCCTGGGAGGTAGTGGTGATGGCTCAAGGAATTCCTGCCACTCACAAAGGAGACCTGGACTGGGTTTCAAGCTTTGGCACAGTCCTGGTTGTTGCAAGCATTTCAGTGCATAGGAGCTCTGTGTCTCAAACAAATAAAAAACAATTTAAAAGCATTCAGCTGAGTTGTAACTTCCTCAAAGCGGTAGACATGTGGTTTGTTCAACTTAAAATAACTGCACAATTTGGCTGTTTCCTGAATTTTCTTCATCCCTTGTTTGCAACAATTACTAGTTAACTGTTTTCTGATGCCCAGGAATTGGAATAATTAAAAGTGTAGGCAGAATGGCGGATTTCAGGTTTTGAGTCTCCTGCCTCTTATCTGTGCAGTGCTCACAGCTGTGGGTGCATCATGCACAGGCACTTACCTGTGTCATGAACACCTGATGTCTGCTAACTTTTTGGCTCTTTCAGTTTAATTAAAGCTGACACAGGCAAATTGCTTTTCTATTTTTTGGGGTGACTTTGATCTCATTATGGTTTGATGCTCCAAAACAGAATCTCCACTATTATCTTCTCTGGACAAGGAGTCATTAAATAGCTGCCTAAATAAAAAAAAATATTTAGCTGGATTAAGAAAAACCTTTACATAGATGATGTGAGTTAAATATGAAACAGTATTTTTGAGGATTAAGAAGTTAACACTGAGAAAAATTAGCTGGTTAGGTATAATGTATAATTTTGAAAGGAGTAACAGTTGCTTTAAGAGTTTATAATTTTATGAGGTCAGAAACTAAACTATTTGAGAATTTTAAAGAAAAAGCATAATGTACATGATTACTCACTCAAGGTATTCTAAGTATTTGTTACACAATAAAGATTAGCCACCTACCTAGATATGTCATATCAGAATCATCAGGCTTTTCAAACTCATTAACACATACGCTAAGATGACTATTTTATGACTTACTGAACTTAAAAAAAGAGTCAAAGTGACTTCATTAAAGATATGTTGTTCATTTATTCTGAATCTTATATTGATAGATAATACCAGAAGATTTCAGCATAGCAGATAAAATACAGCAAATCCTAACCAGCACAGGTTTTAGTGACAAAAGGGCCCGTACCATGGACATAGATGACTTTATCAGGTAATGACATTTTTCTGTTTTCCTGTTTACATTTCTTTACTGTGACACCTTCTGATTAGAGTTAAAGGCTTTAAAGCGGTATAAGGTGCTACTTGGGAGAGTTATTGCATAGCACTTCCATGGCATGGAATAGTATTTGGTGTAGAAGATGGAGGCTAGTCAGCTGCAGCAAAATGAGCATTTTTTTAAGAACAGTAATAAAGAACAGTCCGAGCCAGAAGTTTGCCTCTGTGTTGATGTGTACAGTGATGCACGTGTCCCTCCCCTCTGCTCCCCTACGACTCCTACTCATTAAGTCTTAATAGCTTATGCCTCCAGAGTGGACAACACACTACAGAGTAGAAAAATTTGTCATACGTATTATTCATTTAATAGGATTAGGTTCTGTAGCCTGAGGCAGGTTCTACACATATCTAGCACATGGGTATCATGATTATCTGGGCAGGTTATGCCAAAATATATCTTCTCTGAACTAAGCAAGTGAGGCTTCAATTCACTGCCCACTTTAACTTTCAGAAGCTCCTGACTATTTAGCCAATTCATATTTAGAATTTCCATGTTCTACAGGCTACGAGTAAACTAGAGGGCAGATTGTATGTCATTTGCTTTGATAAGGTAGAAACACAATATACTATGTAACTAAGATAGATGGAGTTAACGTTTTCTTGGCTGGCTGGCAGTACCACTGAGTCTGTTAGAGAATCCTAGGAGTAGAACACTATTCCTAAGTACCTGCTTTGCTTTTTCGACACTAATCCATCTGGACTTATTTGTATGGGCCAGCCTGAAAATAAACTCAGGCCTAAATAGGAATATTTTCTTATTGTCCTTCATTCTCAATATATATATTTATCAAGGTCATATATCATATGCAGTTGGCTACCCAGAGTTGGATAAGTACTTAGGTATGCAGAGAAACCATGTGTATTCAACCTCAATAAAAGGTAGGGGAAGAATGGGCACGTAAGCTTGGGCATTCATCTGATTTCTGCCTTAATTTCTAAGAGTTTCTTGTAGAGTTACCATGTTGAAATGGAACAAGTGTCAGTGAGCTCACAGGCCTAAGATAGGGGAAGTCTAAGATAATCAGTGTCACATTCATTATTGTAACTTATGATATACAGGCTGTAACCAAAGAGGTATTAGTAGAACCTGGTTTTAACCAATATAAACCTTATAAATTTAGTTAGGGATGAGGTTTCTTTAATGAGTAGTGTTAGAAGTGGTTGGGCTGCATTTTAATATATTGATAGCTTCCTGTTTTAGAATTCATGATACAAAATATACATAACTATTTGCTACAATATTAGCTTTTCAATACCTTCCCTTTTTGGTTTCTTTTTTCAGACTTCTACATGGATTCAATGCAGAAGGTATCCACTTTTCCTAGCTATTTGGAAAACAGAATAATTCAAGGTCAAGAAAAGAAGCAAATTATATATTTTTAATATTTGAGAAGATGAACTATGCTATTGTTCCTCTGGGACATTATCTGCATGATAATTTTTAATACTACTGTTGTCATCTTTTACTATTCTGAATCTTTAAGGTGGTCAGTTCTAAGTTCCCAAGTGTTTTGTTGTTCTTGGTTTGCTTTTAATATACATCATGATATACAACATAATCTTCAAGTTTAAGAGCCGCAGATGCGCACAACTTTACACTAAAAGTTATTATTTCTAACAGTTTATTGTATGAAGATGTTAGTTAATAACCTTTTTTACTGTGTTATACGATGAGGCCATCTTTAGGCATTAGCTGTCCCTTAAGTAGTAAAAAAATTAAAATATGCTTAACTAAACCGCATAGTCCCTAAATCATTTCTTCTTGTCATTCATATGTACAGTAAAACAATTAGTTTTTTGTTTGTTTGTTTCTCTCAACTGTTTCTCTGTTTATCCTATACAATTTCTTTTCTTGTTGCTTGCCTCTTTAACCATCCCATAGCACATAGTCTACATGAAGGTTTGGGTAAGCCTGAGTTTGCTGCTGCCATGATGCAGTGCCAGACATATTCTGGGGCAGGGCTCAGCCCATGAAACAACGAAGGTTAAGTAGAATTAAATTAATTAAATAAAGTATAGAATTACATGCTTTCTTGGGGAAATAATCATAGACATAGCAAAATTATATATCAAAGTAGGTTTTAAAGTTAAAATCTCTACCTTCAATCTCATTAAAACAAAACACCCATTTTTCCAGTGTTATTGGTTCCCATTCCCAGTATTCATATGACATCGGAATAATTAAAATTTCCAGTACTTTTTCATATACCTGATGCTTACTTTAAGCTATTTTTAAATTGTCAGAGTGAGAATGTATAAACAAGGTTAATTAGCTACTATGTTTAAATCTGTGCAGTACCAAGTGTTGTTAACATATTTTAATAAAATTATAGTAGCTATTTTGTTTATATAAGAAAATTAATAAAAATATCTTAATTGACATTTGGCTTTCTGTATACATGCCAATAGGAGAGTTTACACTTAATTTCGCAAAGGTACATTGAGTAAATCTAAAAGAGAAGAAAAGCTGTTTTTGTCCGACAGATTTTTCTGAGTTCTAGCTTCAAAGTCATTCTCATATAGTAACAGGGACATATGCTTTCAGGTGTGAGAAAGTACTGTTTAATTCAGAACAAAAAGTTTGGCTGCATTAAGCCATTTTTGTCACATGAACATTAAATATACTCAAGGGTAAATTTTTTTTTCTCTCATAAAAACACTTCTCCAACATTCATTTGTACCATCTCTATACTTACATAAAAATGTTAAAATTTAATTCTACTTTCTGAGGTTATTTTTCTTTCCCCTATGAAATGCTGAATTTACTCCCTTTTCTGGCCTTTACTCTCCCGTCTGTAAAGCTGAGGGAGTGGACTGCAGTACCGCCAATCTTTGCAGGTACTGGGTTTTTAAATACCTTGACTGCTGATGAGAAGGAAGTTGTGACAGTATAAGGCAGCACGTTTGACTGGAAGGAGACTTCCCAGAGACAGCAGCCATCAGCGCAAACACTAACGCGTTATCTGCTATGCTTTACAGCGAGCAAGTTCTCATGCCTGTGTTGCTCTCGGAAGACTGGTCATTCTCAAAACCCATCCTTTTAAACAGCCTCTCTACAAAATCAATAGTAACAGCTCTCCATTCCTCCTCTTCTCAGAGACAGAATGTACCTTAAAACTGAAAGAAAACCTGAGTCCCTTCCAAAACAATGATGACTGTAGTGAAGTAAACTCTCAAACTCATTCCCTCATTTTATTAATAAGTATATTGTGAAAAATGTTTACAGAGATTTGCAACTTGGTATCAGGATTTCTCACAAGTGCTCTGGGTTTTATGAACAGTAGCATGGAGACTCTGGCTCAGGTGACTGTCATAGCTCCCCTTTGGCCCATATGGATGACTTGTAGTTCCCTAAGGGAAACCAAATGAGACACCTCTGGGAGGTTTTTCATGGTCAATCTACTCCTGGACTCTATCCTGGAAACCAAGGGAAAACTAGAGAGATAGAAATCTTTTAACAAAATATTTACAGGAAAAGTGGCCAGTTTCCTTGTTTGGAGTAGCAATCTGTAAAAATAAATGCTGCCATTTAAAAAGTAGCATACCCTACACCAATCTATTGGTGAGAATTTGGTAATTCTCACCAAATAGTTGTAAAACATCACATATCAGGTACAAGGTGGAGCTTGGAGTAAATCTGCCTTTTAAGGCAAAGTCAATTGTTTTTTTCAGCTTAATTCTTTCTCAAAGGAGTTTAGTACTGTCTACACTTGGCTTAAGCTAACTTCTATTATGGGCTACTTTCAATGTACATGTAAATGTTCATGCATCAGAAGCCAATTTCTTTTAACAGTACATTAAAAAGGTATGTTCTGGGGAGCTAATGGACATTTCAACTTAAGTAATGGTATTGGTAAGGATCAAATTGCACTATTAGTCTTGTTAATACCACACTGGCACACACACTGCATATATATGTATTCTCCTAAGATAAAACTCTTCTCAGAATTTTATTACTTTTTATTATACACCAACTAGTTTATATTTTAGTTCTTTACAAAGAAAAATGCTAAGAAAATTAAAATCACATGTTATATGGTTTTAAATCATAATTCCAGATTTCTTTACATATAAGATGGAATGGTCCAGCAGCTATGTCCACTGTCACAGACTTTAGTTCCGTTCAATGATATGGCACATCCTGCAAAATTAACTAGTCACACACAAAAATGTCTCAAATACAGTAAAAATGTACACACAATAAAGGTAATTTACAATGACGAATAAGGAATGTAATTTATCTTGGCTGTGCTTCAGAAATTCAGGGTCAATAGCCTTAGTCAAGGCACAAAAGCAGGAAGAGGTGAGCACAGCTGTCTCTAGAAGTGGGCCAAGTATGTACAATCACTGATGAGGTATGCATGCACGCAAAGGATTGAAAACTGCTCAGTCTTGCAACGAAAACTGAACTGAGTTGAAAGGAAATGCTGTGGCTTCCCCCTACTATCCACCTCTGGATCAAGTCCACAATTTACTTCATCATATAGAAAATAAAATTGGCAAGGATCTCCAAAAGTAAATCACTATTTGGGTAAATGAAACATAATGCTTCACTAATCCCAATTCTTGGTTGTGCCTCCTGGACTAGAAGCATTTTGGAGACAGAGGTGTTTCACAAAATTGAAATGTCATTCAGGTGAAGGACAAGACATTTTCCACAGACACTTAAACTCTTAAACTTTCAAACGGCCCTTACAGCTAAACCATTGTACGTTACAGTAGTAAGGGTGCTGGGGGTCCTTTAGCAGCAAATGCCAATTTAAAGGGCACGGGGTCTCTTCGGGTTGATTTGCTTGCTGGCTTGTTCTTCTTCTTGTAGGGCAGCACGAAAAGATTTCACTTTATCTTGGAAAAAGAAAAGAAGAGAATAAGTATTGCATTTATATGGAATACAGTGTGCAGCTAGCTTTGAGTGCTATCAAGTCAGCTTTCTTATTTCAGGAATGGTCACTCAGAAGTTTCCCTTTTGTTCTTTGTGGTCTAGAAATTCAGGAGTAAAGCCAGTGCTCAATTACAGCAACAGTTTCATTACAAATTCCTGGAAAACACATGTTACAGTGTGTTTTCATGTATTTGACTTCCTTTTGGAGTACACACAGGCTTTAGACATATAAAAATACACAATCATGTCCAAAGGGGAAAGCACTGCGTTTCAGTGATTTTTGCCTCACAGGGGAGATGCAGGAGTGTCTAAAGACATTTTTGGTGATCACAATTGATGTGGTGCCACTGTCACCTAGTGGACAGAGCCCAAGGATACTGGAAAACACTGTCGTACACAGGACTGCACTGGCTCAGAACGTTCAGTGCCAAAGCTACAAAACCCTACTCCATAATCGTCAGAGGAAAGGGAAACAGAGCAAGAATCTCCATTCCCTTCACCTTTTCAGAAGTGCACTGATCTTAAAAATGTAGGTGTTTAGGGACTTCTGAATTTGCCGCCTCCTAATGACAGCTCTAAAACATCTATTAATCCAAAATTATCTCTGTATGGTAAAAGATAGGTAAGGGCTGAATAATGCAGTATCTAGATGGCAAACTTCTTCAACGTGATGGAAGTGCTTGATAAGTCTGAACTTTGAAAAAAATGGAAAAGAAATCAAGTCGAATACTATGTATTACAAAAAAACAAAACAAGTGCATTGCGGTCTCTTCTGAATACAATGCACATACAAAAGCTATTTGTCGATTCTTAGATTAGAAAACTGATCACTTTAAATCAAGGCTCACATATGAATATAAAAGACATATACTGCTGACTATAGGATGATTTTGTGCCCGGCGCCGTGGCTCAATAGGCTCATCCTCTGCCTGCGGCACCAGCACACCGGGTTCTAGTCCCGGTTGACCCTCTTCCAGGCCAGCTCTCTGCTGTGGCCAGGGAGTGCAGTGGAGGATGGCCCGAGTGCTTGGGCCCTGCACCCCATGGGAGACCAGGAGAAGCACCTGGCTCCTGGCTTCGGATTGGCGCGGTGCGCCGGCCGCAGCACACCAGCCATGGTGGCCATTGGAGGGTGAACCAATGGAAAAGGAAGACCTTTCTCTGTCTCTCTCACTGTCCACTCTGCCTGTCAAAAAAAAAAAAAAAAAAAAAAAAATTTGTATGACCAACTTCATGAAGGGGTTAAAAACTTAAGGAGCTTATTTTCTACTAAAAACTAGTAATTTAAATCTGGTTTCATGTTGCATTGTGTGTGCACATACATATGGATGCCTGCTAACACATAAATAGCCAATAATTTGCCAATGGCTAAGAAACCAGCACATATAAGAAAGAAGTATCTGAGCTACAGAGGTGAGCCTATTAAAAGCCACAAAGGCATAGCATGCAGGTGGCCACATGCTTCTCTTCGTCCCTTTCATTTAAAAAGGAAAAAATGTAGTGTAAGATGGCACAGAAGGGAGAAGCAGATAGAAGACCTGAAAGAGGACCCTGAGTAGACCGGAACCGCGGGGAAAAGCCTGCCAAACCCAAGATCTAAAGGGTATATAAATATGTACAATTTGTTAAATCCCTACTCTTTATCTTCCCAAAAGAATAAAGAAAACCCATGATTAGAGAACTGGAAATGACACTCCATATTTTTAAAGAAAAAAATCCAGAGAGTTGGTTTGTCTATTTGTGAAAAGGTGCTACCCGGTGTCAATAATTTTCACTTAATATTTCCCCTTGAGATAGGAAAGCCTCCCGCTAATATACATACCAATACCAATCAGATTTCAAATACTAAGAACT